AGAGGCACATGGGCTGTTCCTTCGCTGTTTCCAGGGGATCCCCACAGGGGACCAGATCTAAGCACCCCGTGGGCTGGATCCTTGTGTTTGACACCCCTTCTCTAAATCCTTTAGTTATTTACACCAAACGTCTCCCTGGGGGGTCAGTATCTGCTTCTGGAGGTTGATGCCTAACTGTCCTAAAAAATGTGGAATCATTTTGAATCCTGACCCCTTCTGCATAGCCCTCATAGGTAACATGAAGAGATCACTGTGGTTTCAATTGTAAGCTCATACATCTGCAAGTCACCCCGTAACACCTCCAAAGCTTCCACTGGGTAGTGTCTTTGGGGTTGATCCAAAAGGACAATCATTAAATGCACGAGCAGTTGTGTCAACCAGATTTAATTTAAATTCAATTCAAATGAAACCAGAGCAACTTGTTTATCTAGTTCTGCCCCCTTATTTGCTCTGGCTACTTTCTGGAATAAGTATCTATAGCCATGATGGTGAACCTATGGCACGCGTGCCCAAAGTGGCATGCAAAACTATGTCACCCAGCACGTGCGACCTTGCCTGTTTGTCTTTTGGGTTTCTGGCGTGCATGCACACGTGACGATCAGCTATCCTTTGCGTGCACAGCAGTGCCAAAAACTGGTGTGTGCATGTGCACCAGCTGATTGTCAGGTGTGCATGCGTGCCAGAACCTGGAAGTTTGGCTTTTCCAGAGCGTGGCCCCAACGAGCGTGCACGCAATGTTTCTGCACCACCATTTTGGCACTTGGTGCTGAAAAGGTTCACCATCACTGATCTATAGCATCTCACTCAAACTGTCTGCATCCCTTGGCTTCCCGCAAAATTGCATGATTGTGAGTTCTTATGCACAAACGGGCGCCCAGTTGGATTCATAAATGGATGCATGAATTGTGGATGACCGATTCAGGAAGGCAACTCAACAGTTGTAACTTTTGATGAGTATCCAATCCAGTGAGAGATGGAGAACCTTGCTAAAGATTTCTCAGTGAGGTTCTCCTCCGTTGGGATTTACTTTAAACCTCCAGGCCATTTTCTCCGTGCTACACTTTCAAAGAGCCATAAAAACATATCTTTTGGAGCACACACTGGTGTCGCATGATGTTGCTCAGCCCCCCCCAAGCTGTGGTTCATCAGATGGATTTCACTGATTTTTGTTTTTAACCTTCTGATGTGATCATTGGAAAACTTGTGTCCAATTCTGGCCATCACGATACAAAAAAAAGATGTTGAGATCCTAGAAAAAGGGGCAGAGTAGAGCAGCAAAGATAATAAGGGGTCTGGAAGCTAAATGCACGATGAACAATTGAGGGGACTCGGTATGTCTATTCAAACCAAGAAAAAGACAAGGGATGATATGATAACAGTCTTCCAGTACTTGAGGGGCTGTCACAGAGAAGGAGTCGAACTATTTTCCAAAGCACCTGAGGACAGAACAAGAAGTAACAGATGAAAGATCATTAAAAAGAGATCCAACCTACAATCATAGTCCTAGGCTGCATTAAGAGAGTTAGAATCATGATAGTTAATGCCACTTTATGTCTTGGTTAAGACCACACTTGGAATAATTGCATCCAATTTTGGTCACCACGCTATAAAAAAAGACATTGAGACTAGAAGAGTGCAGAGAAGAACAACGAAGATTATTAGGTGACTAGAAGCTGAAACGTACGAAGAATGGTTGCAGGAATTGGGTATGTCTAGCTTCATGAAAAGGACTATGAGTGACATAATAGCAGTATTCCAATCTCTAAAGGGTTGCCACAAAAAAAAAAGAGATAGTCAAGCTATTCTCCAAAACACCTAAAGGCAGGACAAGAAGCAATGGATGGAAACTACTCAAGGAGAGAAGCAAACTAGAACTAAGGAGAAATTTCCTGACGGTGAGAAAATTTAATCAGTGGAACGACTTGTCTTCAGAAGTTATGGGTTCTCCAACACTGGAGGTTTTTAAAAACAGAATAGCCTGTTATTCTATGTTCTATTGCAAGTTGCTCAGATTCTTCAGAAATCAAGTGGCAAAAGAATTGCAGAATAAAATTAAACGTCCCTTGTAGGACATCCAAGTGGTGTTACCCCAGTAAGCAAATGACTGCCAGACAGACTGGAGGTGGTATGTTGGGATTTTAAAATTTATTCCAACATGCTATTTTTTAAAAAATAGGCTCAGACTGATTAGACAGCCCAAACTGTAGTAAAGGCAATATACGTGTAAAAACTTCTTTCATTCACAGTACAGGTGTCATTTACAATTAAGGGTCACAAACATCGAATGCTGAGTAATTTCTCTCTTTTTTTAAACATTATATTCTGTGCTTTTTACCTGCATTTTTTTTTGCACTCTTATTACCATACAGACATTGCAAGATGCAAATGTAGAAACTGAAATTAAAAATTACAGGCAAAACTACCAAATTACACTGCACTCTGAGTCTGTACATATTTACAGTACCTTTTTGGAATGTATTGCCATTTTTAAGAACATATAGAAACTTTCTAAAGACTATTCCACTTACAGAATACATACACCTTTTAGAAAAAAAGGCAAATATTTATCTTACATGAAACCATGTATATTAAATTTGCGTACACGTCATCAATATTATTAATATTTTACATTACATTTACTAAAGTGAGCGTAAGTGCCGTAATATTCAAGACTGAAAACTTATTTTATGTCATCGTTAGGACCCAAATTTGGTATTTTCTAAAAAAATATTTTACCTTTTAATTCACAAATACTGTGCAATAACAGGACATAACAAAAAGAAAAATGTTATTAAGGAATACACACAAAAATCAAGTTTGGGGAAATTAAAAAGGAGAGAAAAGTATTGAAACAGACAAGAGTCGAAGGGCTAGATCACAATGCTTCACATTTAGCTCAGAAATGGTGTAACAGCTCCAAAACACTATATATTTAGTGCCTCTTAAAAATCAGTCGCCATGACTTGGCAATGGTTTTTTTTAAAAAATAAAATAAAATGTGACTTAGAGACTTGGTACTAGAAGATAGAACTTTCTGCTAAGAAATAGTGAATGAGTTAAATATAATTGCTCTGTTTAAACTGAACGTAAATCTACCTTCAGTAAGTATGAGGCTCAATGTTCCAGTTCTCCTCCAATTCAGTTGTAAATAATTTATTGCTTTAAGCCCGCTGCAGTTTTTCATGCTCTCCAAATCTGTCAAAAATTATGGTTGGTTTTTTAACTTAGGCTATATACTCAAAATGAAGCCAACATGAAACCAGGGTGTGTGAAGGTTTGTTTCAGCAAAACTTAAGTTGAGCTTAAACATAGGAGAAGGCCTGGGTGCAATATGAAACACTGGCTAATCTAAAGAGAGACATTTTGGAACTCCTTCTTATGACCACATTGGAAGAGAATCAGGATAGGGCACACAAGCCCACGATTCACTGACCGGGCTCACCCATGACTCCAAGTGCCATGATTTAGAAAACTACAATAAGGAAAACTCAAAGGAGAGGCCCGGTAGCCTAGAGGTGGAGCTCTCGCCTGGCAATCAGGAGGCTGTGAGTTTGATCCTTAGGTAGAGACAGATATTTCTCTCTCTGGGCACAATGAGAATGTATCTGCTGAACAAACCTCCACGTTGGTAACAGGAAGGGCATCTGGCCATTAAACCCTCTGCTAGCTCCATTCAGTTGCCAAGACTCCACCCCGCAAGGGATTATGGGGTCGTTAAAAGAGGGTGAAGAAGGAAAATTCGAAACAAGTCCTCTTACGGTTCAGCATGACACATGGAAACTGCTACTCATGTTTTATTCTTTCCCGGCCAAACTACAGGTAGTCCTCAACTTGCAACCTTTCATTTAGTGACTATTCGAGGTTAAAATGGCACTGAAAACCGTTTTTCACATTTATGACCATCGCAGCATCCCCATGATCATGTGATGCTGGGCAATTGGCTCGTATTTATGACGGTTGCAGTGTCCTAGGGTCATGTGATCCTCCTTTTGCGACCTTCTGACAAGCAAGGTCAATGGGGAAGCCAGATTCACTTAACAACTGTGCCACTAACTTAACAACTGCAGTGATTCACTTAACAACTGGGGCAAGAAAGGTTGTGAAGCGAGCCAAAACTCACTTAATAACTGCCACTTTGCTTAGGAAAAGAAAATCTAGGCTCAATTGTGGTCGTAAGTCATGGCCTACCTTATGAAGACAAGCAAAGTTAGTCCAGATAGTTAGGGAATGGGAAGACCTTAGTAACAGGTTGCTAAAAGCAAAGGTGATGGTAATTCAGTGGATTTCATTCATCATGCTTTGGTCACCACTGCTGGTATGCTGAGGTTTTCTACAGGGCTCAGTCAAATATCTTCCATTTACATTTGCTGTGAAACTGCATTAATTCTGACTTCTACAACTATATCATGGGGACAATCCAGAGGGAAGGGATGACATCATCATTTGGCCACTTTTATAGGTACGGCAATAAAAGCCATCTTGACTGGTATTTTCATTGAAAGGCAATTTGAAAAAGAGACTCATGCTATCACAAATTATTTTTCCTGTATACAAACCGTACCTCTAAATATGAATCACTCTTACAACGAAACCTGGTTTGGTATTTCATACTTCATCCAAACTAAATACATCGTATGGCACACCTTTCAATTAACTCAGGAGCCCAAATTGCTTTCAAAAGAATGGTCTGTAATGGCCAGACAGTATATCAAAGGGCTTAAAGGCTGCCTTTCTGAGATGACAACTCTAGCAGTAAATCACTTTGAAAACAAAAAGCTATCCACTCACTTTGAAGTCATCAGCAGTTTGGAGGGAAAATTCTTTGGCCTGCAGATGAATAAAAGCAGGAAGGGGTGTCCCCATAATACCAATGGAAATACTCATGAGCTAGAACACAAATATCATCCCTGCGCACTAATGAAACCCACTAATTAAATATAAAGAGTTTTGCAAAGTTTTGCAAACAATTCTTCTTTCTTTTTTCAACTGAAAGCTGGAGGGTTTTGTGTGTGTGTGTGTGTGTGTGTGGAAAGTCAAGAAATATTCCACAGAATCTGTTCGATTGCATAAATTAGGGATGCCCCAAAAGTATCAATTCATTTCAAATTGAGAACAGGTTAAAATGGCCTGCCTCAACGGTGGAGAGCTGTCTTGAGCTCAAAACTGGCTTGATTGTTGAGCATCAAAAAGATTCCCTAAACTTCATTTTATCGACAAATCTTATGTATGAAATGAACAGTATTATAACTCAGATATTTACTCTGAAATAAATCTAAGGATACATGAACTTTTGGGGGGGAGGATTTACCTCTAAAAAGAGGTTGTTCATAGCAATTACATTCTGATCAATTTTCCTAGTCTGAGAGGATAAGGGCCACCTAGCCATGCCTCCTAAATCTCCTTATAGCACCACAATGTCATGATTGACCCAGTACTTTGACTTTTAATGGGGTGATTTTAAGTGCTCCCAGTGAAGCACTTTCTTAAGGCTTTGCTAGGTCTGCCTAGAGTGCTCAGCACCATACAATTTGAGCCCTTATTGTGTTGAGTAGCTTGCCTTCAGGAAAGCTAACTCCATCTGGCCAACTGATGCACTCAGTTGGCCAACAAGAAATGCCCTAGAGACCCAGAAGGTTACATGGCTGGCAAAAGAAAGAAAAAAGGGACGGGAGCCGACTGCTCTCATTTGTTTTTCCTATATCACATTAGTTGGCCCACGATTAAATAGCCATAGCACTTAAGACTAATATACCGCTTTAAATTGCTTTACAGCCCTCACTTTACAGCAGTTTACAGAGTCAGCCTCTTGCCCCCAACAATCCGGGTCCTCATTTTATCCACCTCAGAAGGATGGAAGGCTGAGTCAACCTTGAGCCGGTGAGGATCGAACTGCTGGCAGTTGGCAGAAATAGGCTGCAATACTGCATTCTAACCACTGCGCCATCACGGATCGTATTAGGAAAATGAGAACTCCATTAGCAAACAAGTCAAGCCAAGATCTGCTTCTGTATTTACAATGGACACTCATTATGCAAAAGAAGGCTTATCAAACAAGAGGTCACAACTTGGTGGCCTTTAGGTATTTAAGATTACAACAAGCCTTAACAGATCCCCACTTCTGGCCATGCAAGCTAGAGCTCACAGGAGCTAAAGCCCAAAGCAACTGTATGATATATACACTATGCCATGCTAAGGTCAAAGTGGGGCTGCTGGCAGGTATGCTGATAGAGATATCTGGGATCTAGGCAAACATTAAGTTCTCAATCAGGAAATGAAAAGGAGGAATTCAAGTAGAGCCTTCTAAAATGCAAGACCAGGTATCACAAAATTACAATGCATTGCATAGTGTGTTGGGTCTTCTGCTATTCCGTCTATGCTAGGAGCATTGTGGTCCCAATAAGACATCTCAGGACCCGCCTTCCCAAACTAAAATGCCCTCACAAGCAGCATACCAATATATACAGTGGTAAGACCAAGCCTCCTATCGGTGGACAAAAAATTACTTCCATCTGCAGAGCGCTGAAGGAAGGCAGAAGAGCATCAGAAGTAGAAAAATAATAATCACACCCTAATGATTAATGTTACCTCTGGGAATCCACCACAAATCATAGAATCCGTTGCAAGGCAAAAGAAATGCGCCTCCCACTGCGTCTAAATGGAAAGGAGGTGGAAACAGGGAAAAGCCAGGAAAACAGAAAAAACCCTGAGCGTTATGGTGCATTTGATCTAGCCCCAAATGAAATCAGACACAGTTAAAGCATGAATGGATCAAAGACATGAGCTTGTCCAATAATGGCTCATGTACACTTACAATACTGAAAACCATTTGGTCCATAAAGAGCTGCATGGAAAGCCAACTGGGGAAGGAGGAAGGAAAATAAACGACCCAGGAATTCAAAGCCTTGGTGGAGATGAAATACTGTTGTCCAGCAGTTGCCACACAGAGATGATGATCGAAGGATTGCTTCTTCAGTGCTGGACAGGGTTCTAGGGAATCTTCTGAAGTCAATACAAGGTAGTGCCGTTTTCTGTTGGTTTGCTCTCTTCTAGTTAATCCAGTAGTAGATGTTTGTACCCCATGATCTGTCCCAGGAGAAAACCAAAAGAGACCCCCCCCCCGCCCTTCAAAGTCTTGCTATAGATGCTGGATTCCAGTGCAAACACAACAGCGCCCTCACCCCCCAAAGAGGCATCGGAAGGAGAAGTAAACAAAGGGAAAAAGGTTGAAGACTTCTCGTGGAGTTTTTCTGCAATTCCAGGGTTGGTTTGGTTGCTTTCATATCACAATGTCAATGTGACCTTGACTCAACGCACACAAAACCAGCCAAACAAAAAAAAGGCCTAAAACATCCTGTTTTCATAAATCCCTTCATACAATACAGAAAACGATACACCTCAAAAGATGATTTAACCCCATCCTGTGTTCGTCATCTATGCAAAACCCAACCATCCATGGCTTTATCAAGCCAGCTTAATTCATTCAGGATTTTTCTTCCTCTTTTCCTGTTTGGGGGGAAATGAGAGAGGATGCACACAGTAAATTCAGAACACCTCAGAGAGTTCTGAACTGGTCCACTGGATAAACATTTGTGGATCTGTTTGCAAGGCTGGTGAGTAGGGAGGAAGGGAGGCTGGCTTCATTTTGCAAAGCATTTGTACAGACTCCATACAGACTCTTCAAATAAATGCTGAGCACAGGCTCTTACCAGAGTAAACACTTCTTTTGAACAGTTGCACTTTTAAAATGGTACGAACAAGGCAGAATTGCATGACACTGGCATGATTGGTATGTGGCACCAGTTGGTAAGCGGTCGGGCGGGCACTTCTTAAAACTGCTCTTTTTTAAACAAAAAATATCTGGCTAAATATTCACCACTGCATCACGTAGATGTGAAATTTGGCCCTTCTACCTCATTGGGGGGGGGGGGTTGCATTGATTCAAAAAGCTGGGTGGAAAAAATAGGCAAAAACCACATTAAAAGAACTTAAAATTTCCTGCTTTCTTTGTTTCATCCGAATATTTTTCCTACGTAGTATGAGGACTTCAAGTAATGCTGTTTTCAGTTTTTATGGTCTCCCATCTCGCTGGTTGGCCCTGCTGGTTTGAGATTATAGCTAGTCCTCGACTTACAACGATTTGTTTAGTGACCACTTGAAGTTGCAACAGCGCTGGGAAAAAGTGACTTATGGCCACTTTTCACTCTTGGGAACACTGCAGCATCCCCCACGGTCACCTGATCAAGATTCAGATGCTTGGCAATGGACTCACATTTACGATGGCGGCAGTGTCCCGGAGTCACGTGATTCCCCTTTTGCGACCTTCTGACAAGCAAAGTCAACAGGGAAGCCAGATTTACTTAACAACCGTGTCTGTCATGCCCTTGTTAGAGTCGGACTTTGAGGGAGAGGAGGAACAGCCGACAGGGAGAGGAGGTGTGGCTCTGGAGGTTGTGGAGGAGGCTGGGGAAGGGCAGAAGCCGTCTGGGCAGTCAGAGGAAGAACCAGGCCCATCCCCTCTCCATCCTAGGATATGCAGGGAGGAATGGAGAAGGAAACAACTTGGCTCATGAGAGAGGAAGTGGCCATGATCCCCCTCATTGGTTGCAGCTGGGGAGACTAGTATATAAGAGAGATGGTTAAAACACAGCATTGCCAGAAGCAAAGTGTGTTATTTTGGGCTGAAGTTATCTTGGTTGGCATCCTTCCAACAGACTGTGCCTTGTTATCTCCTTGAAGTTGGTAATCCTGGTCCATTGTGGAAATTCCTTCATTGTAGTTTGTTTTAGTTTTTTATTTCATCTCTATCTGCTCATTAAGTTCGGACTGTATTGCTTTCTTTTGAAGACTATTTTTGAATACGTTTTATCTCCAACTGAGAATTATTGAACAGTGGGGCCAAGTTGGAGGCATTCAAGGACATTTATTTACGTTTTGGATTTTGTTACGTTTGTGTTATACTCCGGGTCATCACAGTGTCACTCACTTGACAGCTGCAGCGATTCACTTAACAGCAGCAGCAAGAAAGGTCGTAAAATGGAACAAGCCTCATTTAATGAATGTGTCTCGCTGAGCACAGAAACTTTGGGCTCAATTCGTGGTCATAAGTCGAGGACTATCTGCACATAGGTCGAAATCCAACCTCTTTGGAGGGCCTCCAGTTAAGCAATATCGTCTTTTAGAGGGAGACAATCTAATTGGGACAAACATATTGTGCAATCAGGAACAGAACTCTAGCAGGGACAGATGGAAGCACAAGCATGCACTTAACCTGGACTGGTGAGAAGTTCCATTGCTAATGGCTTGCACCATTGCTGAAGTCCTGGTTCAACACCCATCGTGGGTCCTTTTGTGCAGTAGAAGCTCCAATGGAATCTGTTGTAAGTTGGAAACTAAAGATTTCTTTGTTCTCTGCACTAGTTTTCAGAAACGAAAATGGGTCCCATCCGGATGTTATTAATTATTATTATTATTACTGTTATTTTTGGTATAAGAAACTTGGGGAAATATTTTATAAAAAGGAGAGACCTATTTCCAAATCTGAGGTTAGGTCTCTCATCTGTGAGAGCTCATTTGTCGAACACCGAGAGATCTCGAGAGCAGAAGAAGAAGAAAAGAAAAGCACAAAAAAAAAAAAAAAAGGATTCTCGACTAAGTCTCAGCCGACGTTTACCAGCCAACTTTCATGGCTGGGTGTAAAAACAAAAAAAGCACCCTTTATAAGGATTGTGTGCACATGGATTTAAGCAGCAGCAGCAGCAGCAACATGGAATGTCAGCATTAAAGCAAGAATGGCTGCCAGATAAGAACAGATCCACACCATTCTCAGAACATTTGTTTTTTTACATTCAATATATTTCTATTTCCTTCCAATTTATTTTATTTTCTTAAAAAGGGGCTCACCCTTCATATGTCTTGTGTGTCTCTTTTTTTTTTTTTTTAAGAAAAAGTGCTTTTGTGGGTTGTATTTAGGGAGGCACCTGCTGAGATCGCCAAACTCCCACCCACCCACCCCCAATTTTTAGGGCAGGCAGGCAGAATTATTTTCACTGCCATTAATACCTTCCCAAAAGTAAGTGCTAATTTCATCAACAATTCAAGGGTAAACACTTCTTCCCCTCCCTCCCCCAATCAGAACAGTCACAGCTGTCCTTAAAGCACATTTACAGGCAACCAGAATAATGCAAATAATAATAATAATAATCATAAAAAAGAACCATTATAAAATAACAAGCACTTCACCACATATTAAATAAAGCATGTAATAAATAGGGGTGGAGGGTTATAACTTCTGTACAGGGGAGCAGATCTTTTTTTTTTTCTTTTTCTTTAAACAGTATCTCTGAAGAGGCATCCATTTTCCTAGAAGTTTTCAGTGCATCCTTTGGAAAAAAACAAAAATTCTCGATTCTTTCCTGTCTGCATTTTATCAGCGCCTGTTGGAACAGACTTGGTTAATGGCGATGGAGGGGCATGGGTGGATAAGCTCCTTTTCAAGAGTAGTAAAAACACTTGTAAGCTTCAGTTTGTGTGTGTGTGTGTGTGTGTGTGTGTGCATGTCAAGCAACCACAACAAAAAAGGGGGGGCATTGATAAAGGCACAAGTAAATGTAAAAGTAAAATGGAGGGGAGGGAGAGGGTATGATTTTTTTTCCCTACACCAGAGACCTTCCTTTAGCAACAATTATGCTAAAACCAAAATAGCACTGACCAAGGTCTGTTGTTTAACATCTGACAAATTGTTGACAGGACACAGCAAGGACTTAAGTCTTTCCTGTACTGCTCTCCACTCGGCTTCGAGCTAAACCGAAGCCTGCAGCATGTTCCAAGGATGGACTTTTTCTCCTATAGGCCCCTGCTTGCGGGGCGGGCTCTCCTGACAGGTTCCTTCTCCTGGGGGAGAGCTGGGGAGAGGACTGGCTGGATGAATGTTCCAACAAGCAGCCCATGCTGCTGCTTCGGTCTAGTGACTGCGTGGGGAGGCTTGAAATAAAAGCACAGGTGGATTTGAAAGTAGTGCACGAGCTGCCGCCGTATTTCTTCCCCTTCTTGGTGAAGGGTCCTTCTTCCCCAAGAGCCAAAGGCTTTGGAGAAGGCTCCCCCTTTGAGCAAGAACTCATCGGGGTGGCCAAACAGCTCTCCTGCTCTCCTGAACTACACGTTTTTACCCTGTATCCCTCCTCCTTGGATCGCGTTTGCTGAAGCTCGCTAGTCCTTGCTTTCCCTTCCGCGCAGATGCCGCTTCGAAGTGGCGATGTGGCCGACGAAGAAGGAGCTTCGTGTCTGTTTGGAAGTTCTTTGCCCCTGGCTTTCCTTGGGCTGAATCCGGGAGCGCTACCGCCGAGTTCAAAGTAGCTGGCCTGCAGGGACATCACCGATCCGTGCCCCAAGCTGGGATGGGTGCTGGGTCTCGCCTGGACCATTTGGATGCCCCCAATGGGGATCATCGGGCAAGGGCTCCTGGGTAATTGCTGGGAGTGCAAAGGGAGATGACTGAAAATATGGTCTTCCACTCGACCTGGAGTGCGAATGGGTACTTGGTGGAGCGACTGCAAAGGTCTGAAATAGAGATGTGGAATGATGCCGGGTGAAACTGTTGGGTTCCTGGACTCTGTCTTCTGCAACGACAAGAGGCATATAGAAAGTCAACTCTTAAGGTGGGAGCATACAGGTGTGGACACAAAACACTGCCTTACTTTAATAAGGAGATTATTATTATTATTATTATTATTATTATTATTATTATTATTATTATTATTATTATTATTATTATTATTATTATTATATTAAAATATATTAAAATATATTAAAATATTAAAAGAACATATTCCATTGCAACTGGTCCACTGCATCCTTCTCTCTTTCTTTGCTCTGTATTAAAACATAGCAAAACTAAAATGCACACCTCAAAAGAACACATCATGAAAAGGATTAGCTCTTGATGTTAACCCGGGCAATATCCATTTCCAAAGTTCCTGACCCCACCATTTGTAAAGCAAGGGTGCAAAAAACAGGGATTGGCAATAGAGGGACCTTCCGCATGGCCAATGATGTGAGACAATAGACATTGCAGTGAAAAAAAAAAACATCTGGAACACCACATGTTACCCATCTCTGAGCACAGCTTACCAGTTTAGGGTCTTCATGCAGCTCCGTATCTTTGTCGAAGGACCTGTGAGGTAGAGGCACTGAAGATGATGTTCCATGCGGAGTTTTACGTAAGTTTTGTACTTTTTCATCTACTGCCACTTGGCTATGAGAAGGCATCTCCTCTCTTCCTGGGGATGGATAACGTGAAGGTGGCTCTGAATAGCTCTGGGACAGCGTTTTCTTCAGAGATAAGTATCTAGATGATGACATTTCCCTGTTTGGAGAGACATATCTCACTGGAGAAACCCCTCTTGCTGGTGGAAGGTATAAGGGGGACAAGAGCTCCCTCTTTGAAGAGAAGTATCTGCTTGATGAGATCTCAAGTCTTGGCGATGAATTACAGAGGACAAATGACTCTCTCAGAGCTTGGTGACCGGAAGGCGTTTCTCCCGTGTGTGACAATCTTTTTGGTGAAGTTTCATTTTTGGTTAACAGATGCTTTCGAGCCGAGGACCGGTTGTTTCCACCACTGCTAACCCCAGTGTCCTTGCTTGGGGAACTCTTCCTTCTAGGTGTGATATCTTTGGAGACTGACAAATCCATTGCTAAGAGCATCTGCGGTCTTCTAACAGGTTCCTTCTCCGCTGAAGTTGAGAGCGCACTGGAGGACAGAGCTGGCCGATGAAGTCTTAACAAGCTGTGGCACACAGCAACTTCACAGCTGTCAGCTGACCATTTCATTTCAGGCTCTAAGGAGGCCGTCTGAGAACACCAAACAGTATGCTCATTACCAGAGGGAACATCTTCCACTGTGGACAAGGTTGTCTTGGTGCCTTTCTCCTGGGAAGAGAGAGAACGTCTTGGAGAGTTCCCTGGAAGAGACGTGTTCTTTGTTTCAGAAGGCTTTCCAGGTGATTCCTCTTGGTTTTCCTCTTCCTCCTCTTCCTCGTCCTCCTCATCCTCCTCCTCTTCTTCATCATTGTCATCATCGTCATCGGACTCTTCCAAGTCTGAAAACTGGTGTTCGGGTAACTCAGATCCCTCCAGTCCTTCTGAATCTTGGAAGAGATCTTCAGTGGTTCCTAAAAGGTGGAAGCAGAGCAGAACAATTTATCAGACAAGGATACATCATGGTAAAGGTAAAGGTTCCCCTCACACATACGGGCTAGTCGTTTCTGGCTCTAGGGGGCGCTGCTCATCTCCGTTACAAAGCTGAAGAGCCAGCGCTGTCCGAAGACGTCTCCGTGGTCATGTGGCCGGCAGGACTAAACACCGAAGGCGCACAGAACGCTGTTCCCTTCCCACCAAAGTGGTCCCTATTTTTCTACTTGCATTCATCATGGAAAATTGAGATAGAATTTTGTTTATCCATTCACTCAATCAATTTGTAAATTATAACAATTAAGTCTCTTGGAGGTTCACAACAAAAGACAACTGAAGGCAATTAAAATGTTTGTGATGAGAGAGTAACGAAATAAAATATTTCCAACTGCTAGGTTGGCAGAAGCTGGGGCAACTAATAACGGGAGCTCACTCCATTACACAGCGCTAAGGATTCGAACCACCAAACAGCTGACCTTTCTGATTGACAAGCTCAGCATCTTAGCCACTGAGCCACCGCGTCCCTAGGATACATAATACATGTACACATATTCATATACACACATATGTAGAAATATCAGGACAAACAACGCCTGGGCGATAATTGGAGGGAACTCCACAATGTTCTGTGTTAATGAGGAAGCGTACTTCAAAGGAAATTAGAAATGTAAATTTCATTAAAAGTGCCAGTCCATCTCAGATTGTTTTCAGCACAATCTAAGAACTAAGATACTGCTTCTGCCACTAATACGGATTTTACCTATAAAGGACACTTATTATTATGGGCTTTTCTCCATCTTCCCTTTCCCATTCCTGCTGGGTGGAAGCAGAGAAAATAAACATGTCTGTAGTTAGTTCAAGGAGGGTCAAATGAGGCTTTAATAGACACAATTCAAAGCTTCCTACTTCCTGGAATATCATGGAAAATTGAGATAGAATTTTGTTTATCCATTCACTCAATCAATTTGCAAATTATAACAATGAAGTCTCTTGGCAGTTCACAACAAAAGACAACTGAAGGCAATTAAAATATTTGAGATGAGAGGCTAATGAAGTAAAATATTTATATATTACAACAAACATTCAATTGGTTGTATAAATTCCCATAAGCTATCTGAAACCGTTCCATTTTCAATAGTCTCTGAAAAACTAATTTTTTGGGGGTAAATATGTTCTCCAGTGGAAGAGTTAGTGATAAAAGGAAACCAGGCCGTCAGCGGATTAGGATTGGATCAGTATCCACCAAGAATTTTCAGATATCCAGGTTTCTCTACTAGGGTGTTTTTCATATCATTTCACTCTTGGGGCCTTTCACTTATTTATATACATAACAGAGGGCTGATTTATGAGCCTGTCATTCTTTGGAACATTACTCCCCAACAGAAATAAATAATATATTACATGGAAGGCAAACTAAGCTGTTGTGGGAAGACCAGTCAGGTGGAGATATTTCAAAAAGGGAGGTGTGGATGGAGGTAGGGAGGGGAGCAGGAATTAAATAGTTTTAATGAAGAAATGTAGCAAATGGGTCAACATTTATTTAAAGGAATGAAATAACAGAATCCTAGGACTGGAAGAAACATTAGAACACTAGAACTAAGGAGAAATTTCCTGACAGTTAGAACAATTAATCAGTGGAACTTGCCTCCAGAAGTTGTAAATGCTCCAACACTGGGAGGTTTTAAGAAGAGATTGGATAACCATTTGTCTGAAGTGGTGTAGGATTTCCTTCTTAGGCAGGGGGTTGGACTAGAAGACCTCCAAGGTCCTTTCCAACTCTGTTATTCTATTCTATTCTATTCTATTCTATTCTATTCTATTCTATTCTATTCTATTCTAATTCTAATCCATTCATGGCCCAAGCAGAAATCCTCAGACCATCCCAAACAAATGTTCATCTAACCTTGATGGAGCAACCATAACTTCAGAAAGCAGATTTCTTCACTGTTTAATAGGTCTCATGAAACTCATTCTTTCAAGTTTTGATCTCTCTCTACAAAGTGTCTTATCCTACACAAGTAGTCCTCAATTTACAACAGTTCATTTAGTGACTATTCAAAGTTACAGTGGCACTGAAAAAGTAGCATATGACCATTTTTTCACACTTACGACCATTGCAGCATCCCCATAATCACGTGATTAAAACTCAGATCCTTGGCAACTGACTCTTGTTTATGATGGTTGCAGTGTCCTGGGGTCATGCAATCACCTTTTGAAAACTTCTGACAAGCAGAGTCAATAGAGAAGCCAGATTCACTTAACAACCAAGGCCCAGATTAAAACAACATACCTCATGTGTGGCCAGAATGTGAAAAAGACAGTTAATACAGCACCATTTTGTGACTAAAATGGTCCGACAGAGATCGGCATATGTGGGCCTGATTGGGGTAGGTTGTAAGGGTGATACAGAAATATAATTGTATGTCATTTTATTCTATTTAATATATTTTATGCCTTAATTATTGTGTTTTAACTCATGATTATTGCACTTTACCCTATTCTTATCTTAAATGGTTTTTATAAGATCTTATTGGTA